CCTGTTGGTAACGACGAAAAGAACAATTGTGAAGACTTATGGTTTTAAATTTTAAACTAGATGCAGTGTAACAGCTACATAAGTGGATACACCTGATGATGGCCGTTTGCGGCTAAAACATGTAGTGTAGAAGAGGGCAAGACAAAAGAACTACAATAAATTGTTGCACTTGGGACGGTGTTTATGTCATATATCATATAGAGTGCAACAGGATGCTTAAATATAATATTATAAATTTATTACTTTTAAATAACTCCAATCTAATTAAAGTACTGCAACATCAATATGAATCATATATCCAGAATACTGATTCAATTCTGACATACTTTTTAGAACACACTTGATAATTTAAGGTTCTCCAGTCCAAAAATGAGACTGACATATTTATATGAAACAATCTTTCCTTCCTAAGTAAAAAATCTTTGTTTGTTGATCAGCAAATTGTGATTAAAAAATATAGATTACACATATGTTCAAAATATACTGAATACTTTATTATTTTGCTTACGTTATTGGCCTGAAAAAACTTAATGCGACAGAACTGTCAAATAACCAATGTAAAACATTATGGAGAACCATACTTTCCATGTTTCATTAAACATACATAATGTTAAAAAATCATCAAATAAAAGTCATAGGTCTTAATGAGATACAGCATATGTTACATATCAGCGTACTGTATGATAAGCAATTTTTAAGAAAAATTATAAAGACTGGTTTGAACTTCATGTAAGGCAGGGATTCCATTGGACAGACACAGCTTGAATTAATTCCTGTCAACTTTAGTGCAGACCTCCAAAACCAAATATAGCTGAATTTGAGGAATAGTTTTAGATATGAAACTTGCTGATGAACAGACAGGACACAATTTCCCCAGCATTTTTCTATTTTATGCCCCATATATAAAAAAATAAAATGCAAATCAGTAGTGTATGAAACTTTGCTTCAACATTTTACAATAGATGAAACAGGATTATAGAAAACTAACATATCAAGCATATCTCAAATTTTTAGTGGAAAATAGTTAATAGTAATGTATCATAACATACTGGTTTTATATTCTAGGTACACATAACATTCTACATATGACCAGTGTATTAAGACACAATTCACTGCCCTAATCTTAAATATTTGACTTATTTAGTGACTATATCAAAATTCTGAACAACGAAAAAATAGACTGGTTCCACAACTGTCAATTTATTTTGTCTCAGAAAATTTATATGCCAATTTCAAATATCTCTATTTCTTTCTAACTTCTTTCACACTGCCACGATGTTCTAAGTATTACAAAAATATTCATTAAGTTTCAGAATTTCATCACAAGATTTTAAGGGGAAGGTTGTACTTCTTAAATTCTCTCCTGTCAATATGCCAATCTCATTTTCACATGATACATGTGTTTTCACAGACATGGTTCTGGTGACCATGTTATGATGTATAACCATTACAGCTGATGAGGGGGAAATATCACTACTAAAAATTAGGTTGTGTAAAATTTCTTTTTTACTCTTAATGGAAGTTTTAAGGTTTATTGTGTTGTGTGTTGGCAGTTATGAATAATCGATGTTGTATATTCAATCAGTCCACCAATCAACACTTAATCTGGGCAATATGAGCTAATAAAGTTATTTAAATATGCTTCTTAATTCTGCCTGTCAAAACTTTTGAAAATATATAGGACCAATATAATGTAAGACATGTAATATAACAACTGTATATGATTTTATAACTGCACTATATCATAAAAAATGGGAATGGTTGCCCTTAAATGTATTGAAAGGACTGGCTGAAAGTGGTGTCTATTTAAATAAATGACTACAGATAATCACCACACAGCAGGCAATATAAAACTCCACAATCTCATTACTACTCAAATTACAAATTACAATTATACTCATAATACAGTTACTACAAACACTACAGATCACTATAATGATCAGTAATGTCATAATATAATAATATGGCAATGAGAAAATAATAAAAAAGTACATATGTACTTTGCCACTCCAGAAGAAGTAACATACAATATCTGTGCTTTGGTTAAAATTAACTAAAAGGTTTGTCATGTGAACGGTGTAGTTCATTCTTTGGTTGACCTGTCACATAATATAAAATTAATGGCACTTGGTTTACCACTAGACTATTAACCGAAGGTTGCTCATTACCCGGAGTTTCAAGACTGTCAAGGGTTTTCATCTTCATGGAATAGATTCAAATAACATACTAGTAAATATCTGCCAGGTGAAAATTTTTAATAGAACAAAATTCACAAACTAACCCTGATTAACTGTACAAGGAGAATATGAAGAAGTATGAATTTCCTGTCTCTGATAGAGAATAAATGCATGATGTACCTCTTAAAGCCTCCCATACATTAACCACTTTCCTTACTACCCTACAGTAACCCAGGTTAGACACTGTTTACGAAGTATTATCTCACAAAGCATACATGTCTTTATTCCAAGTATGGCTTGTTTTATTTGGTATAGAATACCCACGTTGTACTCCCTTGTACAACAGCAGACTTTCATCTACAGTAATGTCTCTTTCAGGTTGTATACAAATTCATAGTTTTAATTTCCAGGTTTTGGAAAATGAACTAAATTTTATTCAATTGAAGATATGTATATGTAGCAAGGCCAAGTTCTTCACTGAGTAACTCTGAATTTTTAGATCACACTGAGTCATATGATTAAGATGTTCAAACATTCTGATAAGTAGTGCAGTCACCAGGAGGAGGATGGAAATGGGCTGATATATAGGCCTTTCAGTGGAAGCGAGAATAGGGCGCGGAGTGTGGAGCTATCCAATGGGAAGAAGCCATGTAAATAAAAAGAGTGATTGCAAGAAGAGAGTGAAGACTTTATTCAAGTCCTCCATCTTCTTGATCAAGGTTGTGGAAGATTTAGCAGATTTGATGACTTCCCTGATTATGCAGGGGTCATAAGTGTGGATATTTGCTAGGGCTTCAATTATATTGAAGATGCTGCTGTGTTGGTTCACGATGAAACTTCTGGATATAGGTGGGTCTTGGTTCTCCAGCCTGATTCCTCTAATGTGTTCTGATAGTCTACATCTCTTGCTTCTGTAGCAAAGTATACATGGTCAAGCAAGCAATCATATCTCACCTATGACAATGGAACACTTCACAGACACAATGATCAACAGTAGTCAAGTAAGTGTATTAAACCAAGACTGAAAACAGGATCAACTTCAATAAAATTGAAGTCCTAGCAAACACCCATGCTTATCATCTCGTCTTCGTCAGGGGAGCGATCAAAATAGTTAAGCACCCCCACAACTTAAATTGTGATGAAAGACATGAAGTCAGCAAAGTCTGGCTTCACCTCTATTCTGCAAACCCTTTTCCTTAATCATATGACTCTTTCCCATTCAGTAGAAGCTTGCTCCACACTCTCATCCCTGCTCCCACTGTATATCAGTTCACTTCCTCCTCCTACCTCACATTCACCATGATGATAGCAGCTCCCATGCAACCAACACATGATACATGGTTAGGTTCTGAAAGTCAAAGTTACGCAATAAAGAATGCCCTGCTTCACATCAAAACCTTAAATTTAATAAAACATGGCTGGTGGAAAGTCACTGTCTTGGTGTCACATCCCCTAAGGCAAGTCAGCTAGGAAGAACTCCATATCTTTGTGGACTGAATGACATGCACTTCCAGAAGTGCATATTGAGAAAAACTACTCATAAGCATGCTATGTGAAGCTGAATGTGACATCATGAGAAAGGGGATCCAAAGAAAGACTAGTTGCTACTGGCTAGGCTGTGATGACTACTCATGTATTAGTTACTGTAGGGTTCTGTGTATATTACATACCACAGGACATTTAATTGGTACCCAAGACCTCACAGGTTAACAATGAAAGGAAACTATGTATGTCTGTTAATTTTACTAAGTTACACAATTTTAAGAAATTAAATAATTAGGCATACACCATTTTATTTACCTTGAAGCACAAAAAAATAAAGTCTAAATTTTCTACATCATGCTTGGGAAAATAATTAGAAAGGAAAGTGAATAATGCCAATCTCACCTTCATGTGCAACAACTTATTTTCACAGATAAGATTTTGGCAACCAACCAGTGTACAGCAATACAACCAATATATCTGATGTGAGGGATAATACACTAATTCAAGCTGATCAAATTCTTGGCAGTACAAACTATATATATGGTTGAGTGGAAGTGTTCAATGTGTTGACAGCTGAAAGACACCAAACGCAGCTTAGCTGACTATAAAATCACCTCTGATCATTCAATCCAGCCTCTGCTGGAGCAGTGGTAATTCATTTTTTCAAGATCACAGACCAGCTAACTCAAAGTCAAAGCACTGTGAACCAACTAATAATCTAAGTGAACATCAGTTATTAATCAAACCATGTGGGTTTGGTAATCCAGGTTGCATTAAGGTGTCCCCAGCCTGACAGCTATTCATGAAAGTTAATCCTGATGGGCATTACAAGTTTTTGTCTCATTAGGCTCAGGCAAATGTGGTCTTATTCATGAATATGCATTACCACCCTATAAGGCTGAAACATGTAAGGCATATTTTATCCAGTAAATAAAGTTTCTAACTATAACAAGTTATACTTGATGGTATTTATTACTTCTTAATCAATATAAGGTATAATGGCTGAAATTTCTTATATAAAATTATGATTTTCCTTACTTACAAACAGTTTCTGTGTTTTAATACATTATCCTGTCACAAGAGCTCTTCCAAATAAACGATTTACTGCAATTCATCCATCTCAAAGCTGAGCCCCTTTCATAGATGAAATTATCTATCCAGCAAATGAGAGGCTAAGGAGCAACCTTCATATGAAATTATGTTTGCTTGCACCATCAGGAGTGGCTAAACTGTGCTAACCAGTTCACTGAGTGGACTGCTTCTTGTTCATGTCTTCCAGCTTATAATGCATCATCATGAACTGACTGGAACCTGAATTTGAATGCTGTGTGCTTGCAGTACGACCTCGGCGTCGCTGAGGAAGAATGCCTCGCCTGGCCATGTAGAAACGGATTGTTGAGATTGGTATGTTGAAGATGTCAGACACATTCTGGAAAGTCATGCCCTTCTGGACACATTCTGCTGCTTTTGTCAATTCTGCTTCTGACCTACGGATTCTGGTGGGAGCGATACTGCCTTCCTTCCAGGAAGGTATGGGCATCTTCCCCTGGTCAGATGGTGACAGTACACACATGACATTTTGCAAAGCCACTGCAGTATTCATATCTGAAACAGAAATATAGTACTTAGGTCAATAAACGCTTTATGATCATACAACATAAAAACATCAGTTTCAAAAACAATGTTCTTCAGTTCATGGGTTACACACCACTAATGTAATATGAAAACTGTTGTGTACACCAGGATTTATTGAAATCTGAAAACAAATGGATGCATTTCAATCTGTGTACAGAAAAGAAATGCAACAACATTTTTAATATAGTGTTTTTCATTATTCTTCTTCTCTTTTTGTGATTACAGATTTAATCTTGCTAGCTCCATGGATCAGAGTCCTTCTTGAGCACCTAGAATTCGCTCAGCTAGTCAAGAAATTACCTGAACTTTATTTGCAGTTTATTTAATGATGCAAGGCTATACAGTGTTGAATGACTTGATGAGAGTGAACAATGCGTTGGAAAGAATGTGGAAGGAAGCTGTTGTGGCCTGATTCTTCAAGGAATTCTCATGTGACAGTGATTATGGAACTCTGAAGCCTCTAGATGTCATATCACACCCTACAACCATATTTCACTTTAATACTATCCTCTTATTTACAGCTATGTTTTCCTTTTCTTCAAGTCTTCCAATTAAAACTCTGCATGCATTTCTTATTTAACAGAAGCATACTACATATTCTGCTCATCTCACCTTCATTATCATATTAAGCATGATACTTGATGAAGAGCATACATTATGAAACTCCTGCTCATGCAGTTTTCTCCAACCTCCTGTTACTTCCAGCAGCTTGGGTTCAAAATATTTTAAGCAACCTATTCTCAAATACCCTAAACTTATGATCTAGTCTTAATGAGAGAAACCATGTTTCATACTAACATAAAAATACAGGTAAACAGAGTTTTGCATATTTTAATCATTATGTTTTTGGACAGCAGACAGGAAAACAATTATTTTAAACTGAGTGGTGACAAGTATTAACAGATACAATTTTTTTTTAATTTTCTGTGAACACTGTTGTTAGTTGTTCCCACTTGAACTTGCCACATTTTCAGCACATTTATTAGCTGTCTTCAAATTATGATTGTGCCATATTCTGATGATGAGGCATAAACATATACTTTGTGTTCTCTAAATTCTAGACCAAGGGTCTCCAAACTATGGCCCGCAGCCACATCCGGCCCACAATGTGATTTTATTCGGCCCATGAAAGAATTGTGCAGAAATGCGCCAATTGAACTAATTTTCCAATGAGTACTGGAAAAAAAAAACTTGTTCATAGATTTCAAATTCATTAATTAAGATTGTGTTTAAAATATATTGGTATTCCATATTATGTTAATATTAATATTATTCACAATTTTACTAATCCTGGACCGTATACTGTGCGGTATTTCTTCGTACTTGTTCGGCCTCAATCGGCAGTGTCACTTCGTGGCAATGTAGGTAGCGCGAGCAGTTCGTTACTAGCCGTCTTTTGCACAAGGCTTCTTGCAGTGGTGCAGTGTAATTGTAACAGATAATCACCTCAGTTTAATCAGAATTTAAGAATGCAAAAAGAGTTCCATCATTCACATTGTTTTATTATAATTTGTGAAGAAAATATGAGCATTTGCTGCTACTGTCCATTGTCATTAATATACTATAATTTATTCTCATGTACTTTGTATTTAGTTTATGAAATTCTGTGCTTTCAATAAAACTCATATACCTAGTTATTAATTTCTCATTTTACCCAGCCCGTTGAAAGTGCTGAATTACCTAATGTGGCCTGCATTTCGAAAAGTTTGGAGACCCCTGTTCTGGACCAACCTCAATACTAGTGGAAAATAAAGCTTCTGTGTTTCTCTTTACAGTATTTATGTTTTCTCCATAAATTAACATCAGCAGAGACCAGAAGTTGATTTCTCCCATTCAATTCCAGTCCTTTCTGGTTTTCTTGAGTCCTTCTAATGTCATATTCTAAAGAAAAGTCGAATTAAAATGGCCATAGGACATCTCTTTGTTTAAAATCTATTCTGAATGAAAACCATCTGATAAATGTTTAGTTATACAGATTTTACCATAGTTTTCACTTAAATACATTTGAATCAGGGGGCACGTGGTGGCGTAGTTGGTTGAGGCACTATGCTACAAGCCAGGAGGTTGCGGGTTGGAGCCCTGATGAGGTGGATTTATTTTCAATAGACCTAATCCTTCCAGCTGCACTATGGCCCTGGGGTCGACTCAGCCCCTAGCAGAAAAAGGCACCAGGAATCTTTCTGTCAGGATAATTGAAATATTTATGTACAGCATATCTACCAGAGTTTGAATAGGTGAACTACGCTGAAATAAGATGTTCTGACCTCACTGATTTCTAATTTTGCTGTAAAATATACTGGTAAGGAAGCACAAGAGAATCAAAATGGGCTGGAATTCAGCTTACGCTGATGGCCAAATTTTATGGGAGAGAACATACATACCACAAATACTGCAAAATTATCCTATAGGCAAGCAAAAATATTAGTCCACATGTAAACTTTACACCTTAAATAGGCTGAGGGTGAGAAATGGACAGAACTGGCTCTCAGAGTCACATACAATGGCGGGTGGTAGCATCAGTGGCATTAAACCTTTGGGCTCTGTATCTGAGAGTTAGCTAGTTTTTATGTTTATGACATACTTCCATATCCATTTGAATTCCTGAAGGGACAGGAACAATTGGAGGTTCAAGAAAAAGTTAGAAGGATCTATGGAAGAACAGGGATGAGTGTAAGAGGCCTTACACTAGGATAACCTACACAATTGGAAATGTCATATAGTTGATCTGGTTCATTTTAATTTAATGACACTTTCCAAATGAACTGGCTATATAGTGTCAGCTGACAAATTAAAATTGTTGACGATGAATTTTGAAGGCTGTGTCAGAAATGGCAACAATCTACTTTTCAGGTACTGTCTCAGCATTTTCTTGGTCAGGATAGTTGATATTCCAGTCAAGATATCAACCACTATATAATGGCATAAATATATATAAAAGAAAGCTAAAGTATGTAAAATTTCCTTTATTTCATATACTGAGTTTGCTACAAACAGGTTACATTTGAAAAAACATCTTGAACAAAATGCAAGAAAAGTTTATGTTAGTTCTGTTCTTGGGTTGTTACATTGTGTGGTTGTGGGTACGCTACCAACATTTCAGAGGTCCATGTTACCTCAAGTTTCAGGTTGACACTTGGACCCTGAAGTTGCCAACATCACCCACATCCACAGCATGCAACAACTCAAGAAAAGAATTAATATCAATAATAAACTACACGAGAGCCTAAAATCAGTTACGTAAAATTTCTCCTTCCATTTACAAATTTCTGTAGGTATTTTTATTCTGCAATTCATGGAAGCCACTCTACTATCATAATTACTTCACCAGCTATGGAGCTGAAATTATACATTTTTGCTTTTTAATTGGAGATGATCACAGTACACTTATTATATACCAATTTATGGTTCGGACTCCAAACCTGATACACAGAACTGTTATTCATATGCTTATAATACAAAGTGGAACTCTACCATAATGCAGTCCAGTACAATACAGAATAAGGCTCCATCAAACACGGCCCCTTACAAAATTTGGCTCATTTAACACTACTGAAAGACCAGTTTATACTGTGGACCCCAAGGACAACAGTATCTTATGGCATCCAAGTATATTCACACACATTTGTTGCTCTTAAATTATCAAAACTTCCATAACCATGAAAAGAAACTTATACTTTGCATACACTAAGGACTTGTCTTAAGATGCTGTCATGATACAATTAAAACTGTAAACATAAATTTTTCTCATCAAAAAATACTGATATTGTTACAGTGCCAAATCAAATATGTCAAAGCAATTACTGAGAAGGTCATAACTACTGTCCTCTTCATAATGGGCTCTCTCCTACCCAACCAGATTCCTGATAACAGTAAGCTAATCACAGAATTTGACAATAATACACATAGGATGAATTATGCAAGAAACAGCACCAGTACATATTTTGAAAGTTGTAGATTATAGAAATACCACGAATACATAAGGTCATTCATCAGTTTGCATCGAATCTAGACTATAAATGAATAAACTATGTACTTCATCACTTCTATCAGTAACTTCTAACCTAGCTTAACAAATTTTTGTATGAAGAGCATGTATATATAAAAGACTGAAAACTCAGCATAAGGTAAGAAGCAGAAAGTGGAATACGCAATATCACATTACTGAAACATGTTAAAGATTAACCTTTAAACGCCAGACTTCGAAATAGTGGTAAACTTGAGCTGGCCGGAGTTTATTTAAATGCCCACTGCTGGTGCGCGTTTAAATGTCCGTTCCTATTAGGCGCTTAATCAATTTTAAGCGTTGTGTTCAAAAATGCTGTATCTTGCTCAATTTTTATGATAAATGGATGGTATTAACTTTGTTTATATCAGCAAAGAACATAGTGTCGCATATTATGACAGAAGATTTGAAATTTTTAATACAAAGTGTTATACTCTATTTTCAATTTTTTGTTTTAATTTTGATGTGTACTGCAAAAATGGTTTCCCAGTTCTTCACAGAGTTGTTCTGCATTATAAATTCATTTCTGTTTGTAACACTTGACGAATTTTAGCAGTCCCTGGTGTCATAAAACAGATGGAAGCAATAAAATCATTCGGTCTTCTGCTAGCCCTGCTTACACTCTTCGGATTTTCGAATCTTTTGACTGAAGGACAGAAGAATGAAAGCATGGCTATTCAAGAGAAAGCTAGAGGGGTCCCTTCTTCAGTGCTAAGACCTTCCGTTAGAGCTGCAAAAGTTTATTGCCCCTTCTATTTGAATGAGCAGACAGCTGCATCGTGGCTAAAATACAGAGTGTGATCTGTTTTCTGTGCGTTCGTAGTGAAATCGAATACTGTAGTATAATTTCAGCCTATATATACATCAAGCAGGTAACAACAAAAAAGGTATTTACATCGAATGTTACAATATATTTTTAACATACCTTTCTGCAGAATCTGCAATAAAATTACTGGATCGTGGATAAGTTTTGGCATAACTCATAAGTATATTTTTATTTGCTGTTGTTCATTTAGGTATCAATTTAATTCCTCTATTAGGGTTTTACTCAAGTATGTCTGGTAATTACTACATTTAAAAATAAATAGGACTGTTCATGTGCTTCCACTAGTGGCGTGTGCGCGTGCTTCCACTAGCGGAGTTTAAATACCTGACTGGCAAAAACGGGGCACTTTGGCCATGACGACCTTACTCATGACTGGCACAAACGGGGCACTTCGGCACTTAAAGGTTAAAGGTTACATCTCTTGCCAGAGGGCATATCTATCTTCTCAAATAGTTTACATAACAAAGGGTGAGAAGCCCCAATTTTTATTAATAATAAAAAAATCATATTCATATGCCAATTGGAAATAAACAAGAGACATGATGGGATGTAGATTATAATGTTGCAGGTTGAAACACTTTGGACATTATCATGAATATGAACTCTAAATAACATCAGTAATAAACAAATAAATAAAAAAATTACTTTGATAATCTTTAGGAAGATCATCTGTATCCTTTTGTTTCTAAGAATCTGTGTGTGTTCAGATCTGTTATAGAAAATTCTAACTTCAATTACACAGATATCTACAATTTATATTACAGAACTGTGGACTTAGTTCTTGACCACAGCGAAGTTTATTCATCTTCTTTGTAATATTTTAAGACTAGTATATCAATATTTAACACTCTGAGAAAGACTTGCTGAAGAACAACTTGTGTGCAATTAAAAAAAAAAAAGGCATATCTTTGCACTTATGATGTAACAACCTGACAAGTTTCCAATGATATCAAAAAACACACAAATACATGTAGTTGCTTTGTGGTTTATTTTACAATGTTACATAGACTGTGGAGCGTGACATGGTAGGATGATATTGAAAAATGAATTGGAAGGAAGCAGTCATGACCCAACTGAAGTTCTACCCAATATTTGCTGGTGGGGCTCAGGAAAATCACAAAAAACGTCAGTGTCCTGGGAAAAATTCAAATTGAGGACTTCTCAAATACAAGTTTACAGCACTACTGCCACATGAGCCTCCTCAAAACATAGGTGCTTTGATGCTTGCTGAATGTTAACATTACAGAATGGAGATACAGCTCCACACATTCTTAACATTGATATTAAACTGGTATCACGATCATCATCTTACTCTTCTTCATTATCCCTTTCACAGATTATGTCCAGAAGCATATTCTAATTTTGC